ACTTGCAGAATTCTGGGTAGACGCTGAAGACATTTCTTCAATATGTTCAAATTCTTCGTGCGCTATTAATTCGGCTATTTTTAGTTTTATTCGGGTTTGACGCTTTAAGGGAAGTGTTTTCACAGTCTGTGCATGTGCCAAGAAAAGTGAATCAATGGCCTCGTTCTCTTTTTTAGGTTTTTTACCTTCAAAATAATTAATGAGCTGTTATACAGACGAAGATGGTGGATCATAGCGTTTTCTGCTCGTTTTATATTTTGGTGTAGTTGCAGTCTGCGGAAAGGTGTGCCCTGGAGTAGTCACTGCTGTAGTGTTCAATGAAGAAGGTGGTGCTGTCTGTCTTGCCGAGGCGTTCTGTGCATCTTCTGCATCTACATCAGCATTTTCATCTTCTCCATGGCCGCGGTCTTCCAAATTTTCGGTTTCTACATTTCCAGCCCTTTCCTGATATATATTTGAGTTAAATTCGGCAGTCTCATAATGTATGACGTCAATATCTTTCACATTAGACGACGTTTTGGCAAATGCTAAAAAAGGACGGAAAAATTCCATGTAGTCAGCCCACTGCCATTTTTTTATGTTGCCCACTGCTTGGTCGGTCTTTGGTTTGGTAGATTTTATATATTTTGCAAATGTGTCTCTGATATTCTTCCACCTTTTTTTTACTTCATCACCTAGAAACGATTTTTTTTATAGATTCCTTGCCACTAGTGACACCTTCTATACCATTGGGCATAGCTTTCGAGTTGGCTTTACAACAGTGAGTGCAATCGTAACCGAAGTCTGTGGAGCGATATGCAGATATATGGAGCATATATATTTACCAGAACCAACAGAGAATATATGGAAAAAATGTGCTGAAGAATTTGAAAATAGATGGGGATTTCCCAATTGCATTGGCAGCGTGGACGGTAAACATGTAACAATCAAGAGACCTAACAACAGTGGCTCCAATTACTGGTGCTATTTACATAAATATTCAATAGTACTTATGGCCATTGTTGGCCCGGACTATAAATTTATATGTGTTGATATTGGTGGTTTCGGAAAAAATAGTGATGGGGGTATTTTCGAAACCTCAAACATAGGAAAACGATTTGAACAAAATTTAATGAGTGTCCCTGCACCTAGATTTCTCCATGGGCAAAATGAAATCTGCTCGTACGTCGTAATTGGTGATGAAGCATTTGCTTTAAAACCATACCTTATGAGACCATTTCCTTATAAGCAGACTTTAACAGACGTCAGGAAAGAGAAATACAATGTAAGACTTTGTCGAGCTAGAAGGGTCGTGGAAAATGCGTTTGGTATTTTGTCTCAAAAATGGCGAATATTTTACAGGCCATTAGAAACTAAAGTAGATACTACTATTCTAATTGTACGTACGGCATGTGTTTTACACAATTGTTTACGAAGTAAAAGTGGCGATGACAGATATTTTCAATTCTTAGATCCGCCAGAACCCGTGCTTGGAGCTTCTACTGATATAGCAAATGATCCTCGGCGGGCAGCAAGGCTAGCATTTTCTACTCGTGACAAATTCGTAAATTATTTTAATTCTGATATGCCTATGCCCAATATATAGAATGTTCGTTTTCACATTTGTGTAGACTGTAAATTATTTAACATGTTAATAAAAAATATTAGGTACATACCATTTGTATTTAATTCTTTTCCTATTTCCATCCAAATCTTGTCTTTCTTTCTCACATTCCTGTATTCATCGTTCGACAAATCATACAAACAAGGATACTTTTTCACTATTTCTATCAATAATTCCGTTTTTGCCATTGCGAATTTTTTAAGAACGGCGTCAAAAACGCGGTCAAAGGCGAACTGAAATACGCCGCGATAAAAACGCTGGAACAATCGCATTCGCTTCGCACAAGTCTGAGCCTGTCCGTAAACCGCCGCGTTTTAATCTGATCGCGAATTCATCGCCGCGAAATTTTCGCAGCCAAAGCGAAAATTTCGCGCCGGTTTGTGGGATGCTTAATTCTCGCGAAATTCGCTGCGAACATCTGAGGGACTTTCATATCGAAGCGAAAAGATCGCAGTGGATTGGCAGTAAACGGTGTGCCCTCATGTTTTGATTGGAGATGAAGGATTTGCCCTTAAACCCTACCTAATGGGACCGTTTCCATATAGACAGTCGAAAGCAGACACTAGAAAATAGAAATACAATACTGGGCGCGGAGAGTAGTGGAAAATGCTTTTGGGATTCTAAGTCAAAAGTGGAGAATTTTTTATAGGCCCATGGAAAAGAAAACAGATACTACAATTTTAATAGTAAAAACTACATGCGTTCTGCATAATTTTTTACGCAGTAAGCAATGTGACGAACAGTATATACACCTTCTAGACGAAGATACAGATCCATCACAAGCCTTTATCAACATCGAAAATGATCCAAGACGTGCAACGAATCTGGTATTTTCTACACGAGAAAAATTTGTTGACTACTTTAACTCCTAATATTGTTGGACAAGATCAGCTTAGCTAAGCCATTCATAAATAATAAACGTATTATAATAATTTCTCAGTAAAGAGTAACTTACCGGTGTCATTCAATTCCACTCCTATCTCATCCCAGATTTTGTCTTTTTTTTGTAGTCCTCGTTGTTCAAGTCATAGAGAATTGGAAATTGTTTAATTATTTCCAGAAGTTTTTCAGTGTTTGCCATTGCGACAGCGATAAAAATCGTGCAAGCAGCGAATTAAAATTTAGTCGCTGCACCGCTGTGAGCGAAGTTGACGCACAGGTCTGTTCTTGTTCATTTACTTCTACGAGAATGTCGTCGCGAATTAACCGCAGTCGTTGCGAAATATTCGCGTCGGTTTGGGGGATCCTTTACGCGAGACGGGATATTAAATTTCCATAATACTCACACGTGGGCCCAAGAAAATCCTCATACCATTCGTGAAGGCCATTTCCATCAACGTTTTAAAATAAATATTTGGGTGGGTATTCTTGACGATCAGGTAATTAGCCCTTTCGAGTTACCCCCAAAGTTGTCAGGAGAAGGATACCTCTGCTTTCTAGACAATAACAACCAGAACTTTTGGAACAGACCTTAGACATCATGCCATTAGAACGGAGACAGAATTTGTGGTTTCCTCATGACGGGGCACCACCACACATTTTTAGAGGCGTCCTTCAGTATTTGAATGAACATTATCCAAATCGCTGGATCGGTCGAAATGCTCCTGATCCTCGAAAATGGCCAACAAGATCTCCTGACCTCAATCCGATGGATTTCTGGTATGGAGGAGAACTTAAAGGGATGGTTTATGGGGCTGCACCAATAACAACTGAAGCACAATTTCGCGAAAAAAAATTTAATGCGGCTGAAATAATAAATGGACAACTTCGAGGACCTAGAGTAAGAAGAAACTGGGTTCGTCGTAATGAAGCTTGTGTGGAAAGTGGAGGAAGATATTTTGAACACCTTTTTTAAATACAAAAAGTGCAGTGTGGGTTTTAAAAAGAAAAACAATGTATGTATCAAAATTGTTTTCTCTATTCATAAGTGGATTTTTTTAATACGTTCAATAAACCTTCACATACCAGGGAAGCGCTGAGACAGTTAGTGGTAAGTCCGACCCCATGTTATATGAAACTTTTTGCTTGTTTTAACCTTCTCTATCACCCATTTAAATAATGACTATCATAAGGTTTACACCCTGTGGATTACAATTTTGGTTGTAGAACGAGGTTTCGACAATATTTCCAATAATGAATAATATTATTTTTAGCGGAGGTTAAGGTCCGCAAAGCCCCTCGATAATCCGGTTGGTCTCTAAAATTTGCATATTTACTATGGTTTTCTATATACATAAAAGCTAGACTATTTGTTCAGGGCTAACAAGTACTTTTCTCCACAAAACCTCCTCACACTGTAGAAGGCCTATCCTCGAGTACTGCTCATATGTTCAGGGTGCTGTCTCCATGACATTATCCATGCTGTTCAGAAAGATTCTTTAAGCTCTTTATAGCATTTGCGGTGCACTGGTATTTAGGCTTCTGCGTACGCGCTGCTTCGGTATAAAAAATGGTATGATGCTATACCTTTAGCGCATATTTGAGGATGGTTTCTCTATCTTCATTTAATAAAGCAAATTGTTCTTTAACAGTTTTTATTAACGATGTATCAGCTGCAACCCAAGCAGGGATAGCGAATATAGCAGATATCAGATATAGCAGAAGATGAGGCATGGGCTTACTAATCACTCGCCGTGAGCTGCGATGGTTCGAATCGCTTTCCAAGAGATTTTTTTAGACGGTCTAAGACTGTGCAGTGTGGAGGTACCACTGATGTCACATGCACAAGTGTTCTCTCGCTAAAGTCCATGTGACGTCCCCTATAATAATAATAACTTTCATTCAAATTTCTTTGCGGATATGAAACGTCAACAGGAAAAGGTCAGATATGCATAAGTAAAAGAAAAATACCTGTATACATGATTAAATTACAATAAAATAAGTGTTGAAAAGTTATAAAATAAGTAGAAAAAAGTTATGTTTGTTTAGTATAAATAGTTAAATAGAAGAATAGAAGAGAGTAAAAACACTTGGGACTTTAAGAGTTGTTTTTTGAAGACTTTTGAGTCGTTGATAGTTTTTAACTCGGAGGGAAAATTATTGAAGATAGAACCACATAGGTAGTCAGGGCTATTACAGTTCGTGCTAAGGCTATAGTTGTTCAATTTAGGTACGTGAGTTTGGAAGGATATGATTTCACATAAAGGCACCCCTCCAGATTGAGTAGTGATGCTAACGTTAGTATTTTTTCATCTCTAAATATTTCTCGACAAGACTCTACAGGATGCAACGGGAATAAGACTCTGATTATTCTCTTTTGAAGGATAAAGCTTCGTTGGGTATTAACAGACGATCCCCAAAATTGCATTAAATGGTTGAGGTGGCAATATACAATAGAGTAGTAGACACGAAACTCCTGGGTATTGAGGCCTTAGGTAGTAAAATCACTTAATTCAATAATAAACGTTTTTGATTGCAGTGACAAGAATGAAAGGACCAAGCCGGAAGGAGGATTCGCCCAGCGGCAGCGCGAAGACATACGAGTCGAAAGTGGGCAAACTGAAGCAAAGGATGAGTTCGCAGATGCAGCAGCAAGTAGCCCCAGTCACGTATGATGAGGCGAAGGCGACTTGTAAGGCTAGGAAGAGGAAAGAAAGACAGGAGAGCATCAGCTCTCTATACCAAGAAAGAAAAGTCATCAGGTTAGATACATTTGAAGCATAAAGCAAGCTTTCCGCTATATATATATATATATATACAGGGTGTCCGCAAAGTTGGGGTTTTTCTTTTCAGAAACAACTACCCTTGAAATAACAAAGGTAATGCATAGTAAAACGAGGGCGACCAAGTAAAAAAAAATAAAGGAAAAAGTACTCACTCTCCAGTTGACGAGAAGGGCTAAGTAGGTACTCTGCCCGAAATCATACCGCTCCAACAGAAAATGAAATCAGCTGAAGCGCTACCGAGCAGACGCAGAAACCACATTGATTGTCTTACACTTGATGGCACATCTTCTAACAAGGAAGGCAAAATGTTGCGGAAAAAGTCTAGGTATTGCATCCCGTCCAATCGATTTGGGAGAATAAATGGTCCAATGAGCATACCGTTCACCATGCCAGCCCAAACATTCACCGAAAATGTTTGTTGAAAATCACCAAACATGAGTGTTGCGAAAGTTATTCACCCCATTACGCGTGAACGTAGATTCGTCTGTCACCAATATGCATTTCAAAAAGTCCGGATTATTGTCATGTTGATGCAACAACCACTCACAAATCCGCACTCTTGCAGGAAAATCGTCAGGTTGAAGGGCTTGTACACGTTGGACGTGAAACGGATACAGCCCCTCTTCACGCAGCATTTGCCACACTTTAGTTTTTGATACTTGCACTTCTCTAGCCACGTCTCTAGTGCTTGTTGTTTTTTGAAACGCAATCGATTATACGAGTTCGTTTACCCGTTTACACGCGTGACTGTAACCGTCGGTTGAAGGTTGCATACTAATTTGACACACTGACCCCGAACCCCGACCCAGTTCTGCGGTCGGGTTGAGACCTTGTAACAGTCGGGGATATCCCGACGGGTCGCGGCTACAGGACGGTATTCAGATATTGTTTATGTTGCAGAGCTCTTTATCTCGGTTCCCTTAAGACATTGGTGTATATGGTACTAAGAAAAATTGCTTATGTTTTCAAGATCTACACGTCGTGTAAAGGAAAAGGGAAACTTTGCGGACACCCTATATACAGGGTTCAGACAATAGTGGCATTTTTTTTAACGCATAATATAAAAATATGGAAGTTTCATATAAATGTGGGTGTTAAGATGCACTCTTACCGAGATACAGAATGTTGAAGTTATAATTTCGAAATCGAAAAAAAAAATATCTTCGGAGTGGACTAAGATACTGTCATATTGTACATGTATTGAATCTGATATGCTCTTAACCCATTTCCTTCCCAGCTCTTCTTCAGTATTTACCGGTGACTCCATTTCGAAGATTTAGAAGGTCTTACAAAGAGTATGATGACACAACATAAAATTTCGAACCTTCCTTCGAGAGATACTAAAATTCCGAGAATATTCTTCAACAAAGGGTCCTGATTTTTCTCAGAAAATGACATCCTGATACTTGATTTTCACTCAATTTGTCAACAACTTAGTAAGATATTATTTTTATGATTATTTAATCATTTTAGACAGCGATGGATTGGCAGAAACGGACACGTACTATACATTGGCCTGCGAGGTCTCCTGATTTGAACCCCCTGGATTTCTTTTAGTGGGGCGCTTTCAAACAACTAGTGTATGCTGAACAAATTAATACTGTTCATCAGTCACAAGAAAGAATAGATAAAAATTGCGCGTTTGAAAAAAAAAACAGTGGCGTACCATTTTACCCTACTTAAAATGCGATCCTGTGTATGATGTTTCGTTTTTGGTCACGACTTGTGAATCACCCTGTATAGGCCCGTGACATAATTCAGTTTAAATAACTTTCTAAATCTTCGAAATGGCGTCATCAGTTTATATTGAAGAAGACAGTAACCGACAGCTATTCTTTGTGGGGAAGAAATGAAAACATTATTGTTTACCATGGTTCCAGGCTCAATAAAGTTTATTATAGATCCAACTCAGAAGAGAGACCTACGCAAAAGAAACTTGTAGAAAGTAAAAGCAATATTAGAAGAGTTTCTAGCAGCGAGGATTTCCAAAGACCAGGCGCAACCGACAGAGCCAGCTTATCTCCACACAGAGGCGGATCAAGTGAAAAAACCTTGACGTATGATGACTGTGAACATGAAAAGAGAAGGTAACTATTACAGATAAAATAAGCCACAGAATTAATTCAAGCATCGGTAAGCGAATCCCACCTGAATGTACCCGATTAAGATAAAAATTAGAGAGACACCAGTTTAATTCTTTTCAAAGTAGATTTCAAAACTAATTTTAGTTTTTGCTACTGCCCCATAGATGGCGCTAGGATCTTTCAGATCCTTTTTTGCCACCAGATTACAGTATATCGTAGAATAGGTTTATCTTTGCTCAAACCAAGAGCTTAAATTTCGTACGCCACTGCCAGTACAAGTATTCTGGTCGCAAAAAATGAAAATGAGATATATTTTTATACTCATTTCCATTGGTCTGTCTGTCCGCTCGGATTTAGATGAAATTCTCAGACAAGGTCACTACTATGCCGAGGAAGCTTTAAAGTTCTTGAAAATCAGTTCAGTGGCGGCGGGGCTAGGGGTAAAAACACGAACAAACTTCGCTTTTTGTTTCTTCAGAGGCTCCGGATCGTTTTAAGAAACATTTTTGTTGACGACATTTTTTTTTAAGAAACAGCAATTTGTGTTTTAAGACCAAAAAATACTCATTTTCAGGTCCCATGAAAGATTTGCCAGACCTCTAACGCTGAAGAGCAAAAAGCACCCCCACAAGCGATTAAGAGTGAGGTACCTTTCACGGACCAAGTGTAAACCAGAACTGCCAACTGATACCAAAGACCATCATAAGAAAAGCAATACTTTGCAGTGTGCTTCAGACAAAACGACAGACTTTTTAGACGCACACAGCAACGACGGACAAAGAGATCGATCTCCGAGTCCCACTCACAGATCTGTATCTCCAGTTTTGGACTTAAGTACGTTGCATGAACAAGTGGATTCAAATGAGCCGATGTTGTCACAAAGCAGGCAGGTTAGTGGTTCCTCAGAAGCATAGTAGTAGGGCATTTTTGGATTTTTTGTCGACCCTGGAGGTCAAGAGTAACACGAAAACTAGCAGCACAACCAGCATTGAAACTTTATGTCAGACAAGCCAGTCGCTACAATTGTGAACGGAATATTACTCATAAACAAATACATTTTGGAATAATCTATTTATGGCATGTTATAAATGACATTTGGGGGCACATTTCTAAAATATTGGCAATTATACAGGGTGACCTAATTTTGACCTACATATCAAAGTTGCGTTTTTTTAAATGGAATGCCTCAAATTTTATTGCATATTTGGATAAACCTATTCAAAAGAAGAATATGGATATAACATACTATAAGGTTTTGGTAACTAACTACTGAGATATAAGGTGTTTTGTCCAGAAAAACCGTCCACTTCGGCAACGCCCAATCCGCCATTTTGAAATTTGGAGTGCTGAATTTTCTATCAAAAAAAAAACTTTCATACCTCAGCTTTTATCCTATTTGTTACTTTTTGGAATTTTCATTTTTGCTCATACAGTGTGGTCAAAAACGCGAATTGTACTTTTTCTCAAACATTTCAAATGCATCACCCTGTATATTTGTGCAAGTTTGGATTAATTTTTTTAGCTTTTTTGATACTAGACGGGTTACCTAAAATATCGCATCATCCTTGGAAACAAATAAATTGTTGATTAGTTACAAACTGTCAAAATTAGCTTAGGGGTTTCATACATCAAATTGCTTATGATTAGGTCATCTTTACTAAAGTGTTATTAAGGAACTTTTTATGTGGGAATATTCAGAACCTGATTTAGTTGAGGATGGCTAAATTTTCTGTGTATCTTCTATATGTTAATTCTATTTTAGGTGACTGAAACCACCGAAACCATGCCTAGCCTATCAGTAGCTACCAACAGACTCTTATCATCTCCAAGAAACTCGATCATCGCAACTCACAGGATCTACTTGGATCCAGATATACCAAAAATGATCTCATCGCTCGACCAAAAACTCCAAAGTCCAGTCGATGAAAAATGTCAAAAACTGGCAAAGCAAATAAACAGCGTTAAAAAGAAAATCAAAAAATACGAGGGCGAATTTGAAAATAAACACGGTTTCAAACCCTCGTACGTCGAGAAAATGAGCGACAAGAATATGAAGAAGCTTTATTCAGAGTTGAGCAAGTTGAAGAAGGAGCAGAAGCAACTCACTGAGATGTCGAGTACTTGTACGTTGATTCCAGGAGAAGAGACTAAATCGGAAAAGATGAGCTGTTTAGAGACTACTGTTTCGGAAATCGAAAAGGTAATAATATCGAAAAATGTATCTAATTTTTTTTAACACGTTTTATTAGCTTGGCCTGTAGGTATGCACCGATGATAATGAAATAATTTGTTTTCCATTATCCTTATTAGGACCGCCAGGATTGACAAATTCTTTTATAGATCCTCTGTAAAAAAGTAAGAGGATAGAGTTTTGGACTTACTCTTTGTTGGTTCCGGCACTCGGACGCAGATACTTTTTCAATTATCCTTATTCATAAGTAAAATTCTCTAAAAATCAGATATGTTAATAAAAAGCCACGTATTTCAAATGGCGCTTTACGAATACTGAAACTACAAGCCTCTGAAGCTCAGTGGCAGAGCACTGGTCTTGTAAACAGACCTCGCATGTTTTTCTCGATCTGACACTTGTCTTTCTTCCACTTCAGAAACTTACTACAAAGCGAGAAACTGCCGGAAGAAGCTACAGAATCGAAGAAATGACACCCGAACAGCTGATGGATGAGAAAGTCGCCATTCAGAAAGCTCTGTTGTACCTGGAGGCTACACATGGAAGACCGAATACCAAAGAAAACAGGGACATAGTTAGACCCTTCTATGATCGATACAGAACTCTGAAGAGATTGGTCGTAAAAATATCAACGGTAAGTGTGAAGGATAAAAATACAGAAATGTTGTCAATTTATACTCAATAAATTTAGAGACATTTTTCAACGATTTGACTTTAAATTCAGTTATGGATGACTTTACGGTTGGGAATTGCGTATGAAAAAAAAATGTATAAATACGAGGGCGGTTCAATAAGTATCCCTGTTTGACGACAGAGGGCGTTCCTAAGGGAAGCTAATATTATCATCGTGTGCTGCCATCTATTAAACGACGGCACAACAAATTTCAGACTGATTGATGGGTTAGTTTGCTTTGGCAGCCTTTCGAGTAACACGTGTTTCGTGATTTTCGCTAAGATGGAAAGAGAGCAGTATCGTTCGATAATTCGCTTTTTGTTTTTGGATGGGAAAAAATGCGACAAGATAAAAGCAAAGGTTGTTGTTAATATCTGAAGCGGTTCTGAAGATATTAATTAATTTCCATTTTTTCCTAAAACTTCAACACCCCAAGGAAACATTTCTGGACCATAGTTTATAAAGCAAACTAACATTAATTTTTCATGTAGATTCCACACCCTTAAATATTCGCATATCATTAATGAACACCCTGTACAATACTTCTATGCCCACAGAATATTGGGATACCCTGTATATCAGCCCTCAACTTATCTTTATAGATATAGACTTTTACCTAGCTTTTATTACATATTTTGATATTTTTACAGCCGAATTCGTCAGGCAATGAGTTAGCTACAATCCACGAAAACGAAGCAATGAATTTCATCACCCCTACCTCGTCGTCTCAATCAAACGACACAGAATCAGAAAAAACAGCGACTATGCTACCCTCAATCAGCACTGACAGTGACACTGACAGTTCGATCGGAGAGAACCTACACTCTCTTCCAAGATCAGAACTGCTACAGCAGCTCAAAGTAGTTACGGAAGAGAAAAAGGAGCTCAGAAGGACAATCAAACAGTTCGAAATGGAAATGCAGATGAAGACTGGCAGGATGATACAGAAGGAGGATAAGGTATCCATGGAAACGGTTTATTTGACCTACAAGAAGACCAAAGCGAAGTACAGGTTGCTAGAGGCTCTTGTAGGGAAAGCGTCTTCTTGAAGAAGTGGTTCAGAAGACCACAAAATAGAGCCAAATATCGCGAGTCATACATGAACGTTTACTAAGGAACGATTTTTTTCTATACGAGGAAACCAAAGCGAAATATAGTTTATTGGAGGCCTTTGTTGTTAAAGCGCCATTTTGAAACTAAGACTTAGAGTTATCCACAGACTATAAGATCGAAGTATATAGAGTGATTCACAAGTCATGACCAAAAATGAAACATCATACACAGGACCGCACTCAAAAATGGAAAAAATAAACTTTTGACTTGAAAATGGTAGTAGTAACGAATTTATTGAGGGAAATAACATTTTAACCAAATTTCAAGCTGGATTCAGGGAGAAACACTCAACTGAAATGGCAACACAAATGGTTTTAGAGGACTGGAGATGTATGGATAATAGGAAACATACAGTAACAGTGTTTTTGGACTTCAAAAGGGCGTTTGAGACTATTGACATGATAAATTACTTACAAAATTGCATCACTACGGATTTAAAGGATCTGTATTTAAAATTCTACAAAACTATTTAATTGACAGAAGTCAAAAAACCAAAATTGGATCTACATTATCAAGAACAAAGAATATTTCTGATGGTCACAAGGTAGTAAACTAGGTCTACTACTACTTATTTTATACATTAATGACATTTGTAATATTTTAGATTATTGTAAACTTCAGATATTCGCAGATGATACGTTAATATACATATCAGATGAAAATATAGACACTGCTTTAAAAATGCTAAATTCTGACTTGGCAAAAATCGTAAATTGGTTAAATGTAAATAAACTAAAATTGAATACTTCTAAAACAAAATGTATGCTTATAGCGAAATACCTAAATGAAAATACTATCACAGTTAGGATAAATGGAGAAATAATTGAAAATGTTGAATCAATTAAATATTTAGGTATATATATATATATTGATACAAAACTAAAGTTTGAGGATCACTTAGAATACATTATTTCAAAAATTGCAAAAAAACAAATTACTTTTATAGGGCTTCTCATAGTCTTAGTACATATTCCAAAAAAATAGTTTATAATACAATTATTCTAAAGCATTTACTATATTGTTCAATTATCTTGTTCACAGCCAATGAAGCTGTATTCTCAAAATTACAAGTCTTGCAAAATAAAGCTATGAGAATAATATTGAATAAAAATAAGAACACGAAAATAAAATCTATGTTACAAGAATTGCAGTGGTTGAATATAAAAAATTTTATTTCATATTTGATTCTTCTTTTATATTTAAAATAAAAAATCATCTTTTGCCAGAACATTTAGAACACTACATAGAATTGAATAATCATTATCACAATTATTATACAAGAGGAAATATAGATTTTCATTTACAAAATTGTAATGTTAATTTAACTAGCAAATCAATATTTCACAAATGATTACTTGAATTTAATAAACTAAATAATGATATAAAGTCTACTTGTAATTCAAAGATATTTAAAAGACAATTAAAAGAATATTTCATGGAAAATGAAAATTCATAAAGATGCAATTTTTTTTTCTAAATATCTGTATGTTATGTAATTGTTTAGTTTTTTAGAAGAATGTAATAGTAGCAATCATGCTAAATAAATCTTAAACAAACAAATAAATAATAACAACCGTATAACACAAAACTTTGACATCCTATTTCCCAAGAAACGTCATGTTGGTATCAAGGCCTCTTATTTTATTGTGAAACGATTTGTATCTCGGCTCTTCATGGATGATCTAATTTGTTTTATTTTTATTTTTACGAAAACACTGCACTCTAGGAAAAAAGACAAGTGTAATTGTTTGTAACAAAATTTGAAAAATTGCGCATTACGAAAAAAAAAAACAGTGCCACTAATCCCCTGTATCTCCGCCACTGGAGCACGTTTATTTTAAGTGTGGGCAATACTTAGGTAAATCCACATACCAAATTTCAGTTGCTTCCAGTTGACGGTTATGAAGATATTAAAAAAAATTGTTTTTTATTTACAAACTTCAACACCCGGTATCTTTTTGATGAAGCCCTTGAAGAAAAAATGTCACATTGAAGACCCCCTTAAAACGATGTTTCATTTTTGGTCACGACTTGTAAATCACCCTGTATACAGTATGTATACTGTAACATTATGTATACTGTTTTGTGGTTAGGGCCCTTAATAATCTTTGAAGCAAAGGCTATAATTTAGCAATAAACCGATCAGTAAATCAGTTACTTGAGATTAAATGTTCGATTTTTAGTAGTTCAACTGATAGATGTTATATGTTATATGTGTACATCTTCGAACGGTGTGTTCTGATAATATGGCATGATTCAAAATCTACAGTTTCCAATAATCTTCTATTTAATGGCCCGACGGATGAGATCGAAAAAAAAGCAATTCCAGTACTGCTTCCTCTCTGTTCACTTACCACGGATCGTAGTCTTACAAGATCTTTGAAGAATAAGATTTGTTATGTAGTAGGTAGTATTACGAGTGTTCAACTCACTTAGTAACTTGTTTTCGTTGATCCTTGCAAATCACTTTTATCATTAATTATAAAAAGGCACATGCTTTGCCGCTTACCGGGAAAAGTACAACAGAGACGAAGTGTCAATTGTTCCGAGGTACTCATAGGCGTATCATTTTAGAAAAAGGGTCAAGTCACAACAAGATTAAATACCGAAATAGTAGCTACGAGCCCTGAAATAGTTCGGACATTATCTAATTTTATCTTAAAGTTTGTTTATTTTTTTAAGGTACCAATTTTTTTACCGTGAGCAACGACCTTGCTTTTGCCTATGAATAAATATGCCATATGTCCTTTAAATGCATCCTACGTACCTTATAAAAATGTAAACCAGACTTATGAATCCACCGACGGCACGTTTCTCGTGAAACATTTCCAGCTGTTTCTTCATTCCATTTTGCTGTTATGTCCCTTACAATACCTCGACGACCAGCTTTACAAATACGAACAAGAGATCTTTGCATTCTAGGGGACTGATCTTACGTGTCCTACCAACACCCTGTCTTGAAACTTGACTTAAACCTGTGTCTCCATACTTTTTTGCAATATCTGTCACCGTAGACTTTGAGACATTTGTTTAGCAATATCCCGAAAACTCTTTCCTTGATGAAACAATTTTATGATTAAAACTCTGATTGCACCGTTTATTGATTTAACACGCGACATTTTAAAGCAAATTGATTCACAGAATTCATTCTTAAACCTAAATGTCAAATTGAAGACACTTCTTTGTTTCCATGGCCTGCTATTATTTTCTTTTTAATTTCGTGTGCGAACATTTATGTGTCAGCAAAATGTTGCGTTGTTATCAATATTAGTTTGATTTTATACTTCAGTATCATGCTACTTGAAAACAGTTGTTAATATGATGTGCAAACAATATATTTCATTCTCTTATAAAAGAAAAACAGTTAATTTTTAACCTAACAAAAATAAACAAACTTTTAGATTAAATTAGATAATGTGCGAACATTTTTGTGTTAGAGCTCCTAGTAGTAATCATCACATGATTTTTAAAACCGTACAAGCATTTTGTTGTCTACTTTCGAAAATCAATGAATTTATTGTGAAACTGTATAAGATTTTGAATTCCAAATGCCGTTGAAATTGTTTCACTATATGCTAGATATGTACCTTCGATTTCGCAACGTATATTCTATAGGATTTACAGTAAAACTGATATTTAGACACTGAAAAATTAACAACAGACCACGACTTCGACGCACAAACTAAAAGTATCAATACAAACAGATGCAAATATTATATTTGGACACTGATTCACTCATTTTGAAAGATCGGGGACAGATAAAGGACAAGCGAATAAATAATTTTTATTATCTGTCCTTGGTCAGCTTTGTAGATCCCAAAATATTTTTTGGAGACGTAGTTGTATATTATTCTTAGAATATTGTGATACAGTGAGGTGTTTACATCCCTCCCAGAGTCGTACAAAAATAGTGAGTTGAGAGAAACTTTATAATCGTTGATATACAGATAAATGCAAAATGGTATTATTTAATCTAAATGTGTAGAATTCTAACGAGATGGAAGTAGAATTCAGGTGACTATGAGAGTATTGGCACACAACAGTATTCTACCAGATAGTAGCATGGCAATTAGCAATCAAGTAATACTAGACTAGCAGATGGTGTCCAATGGGAAAGCTCACTTATATTTATTACTATCAACATATTCCTAAATACGGCGGGTTTCATTTCTTAAATTTTATTCCGACCACATGATTACCACCCCTTCGGACACTCTTCTAATCGCGCGCGCAAATACTGAAACACTCTCTTACAGAGTTCCGGAATGATGTTTATTTCTCGTCGAATGTTGTCTTTGACCCCACAAAAAATAATCGCATGGCGTGATGTCGGGTGACCTAGGAGACCAGTGAATGTCTCCAAACTTTATGAGGAAAAAGTGCTATCATAGTATTCCTCGATTCTCTGGAAGAATCGGCAGTGGCCCCATTCTATTGGAAGCATGTGTTTCTGTTAAAAAAAGTGTCAACCATGTCCTTGTATCGCTCGGAACTGACTGTCAATGCATGACCGTTTTCATCTTCAAAGAAATACGGCCCAATAATACCGGTAGAGGATATGGCGCACCAAACAGTCACCTGTGGACTATGTTGATGTTTCTCTTTTGGGTTCGTTGGTGCGCAATGTCTGCAATTCTGCTTGTTCACATAACCATCTAAGTGAAAATGGGCCTCGTTACTGAAAACAACGATCTCGAGACTGCGCTGCGTAGGAAAAAGATTCAACATCCGTTCAGTACAAGATTTCCGTAATACGTAATCACTTTCTTTTAAAGCATGGACTGATTGGATTTTATAAGGATGAAAATCCATTTTTTTTTCATTATGCTATGCAGTGTTGAGCTAGGGATTCCCAAATCAGCGGAATGCTTGCGTACAGAACGCCGAGGATTTGCAATGACCGAATCACTTACTCGACGCACATTTAGGTGTAGGGCCAGGATTGGATTGACTAAGAGTAGAGTCTTTTTCACGAACTTCTTAATCCATTTTTTCAAGCTCGAGTTCTTAAATACCTAGGTCATCTCTTGGTCGGCGAATGTTGTATCGTCTACAAAAAATTTCCGAAGGGCAGTTGCGTATGGATCGCCATTCTAAAGTAAGCCTCGATAGCAAAAGCCACGTTGCGCTCCGGTCCAACGTTTCATTATGACTATTTAACCCGCACGCCGAATGCGTCGATCAAGACATCTCCCCACTTCCTCAAATTTGAAATGTGAACTTTCCCACCGGACGCCCCATTTAGGGACAGTGTCGAAACATTATCACCCTAGAAAGTTCAAATAAAATATATCCACTAAATACACTATACACGAATTCTACTCGTACAGTCACCTGAGCGTTATTAATTCATAGTAAATATGTATAAATAACCTACATATATCATGCTACGAGAAAGGTGAATCAATCGGACTGTATTACAATTCTTGATAAGATATAGTACTTAATCGGAGCAAGTACAAGCAAACACTATATACGATAAATTCAACAATACGATGATAAAAAGTATCAATCAATATTATTGTATGTGTACCTAAATGTGTGTATCTTCATAATATACTGATGCGAATCATAGGAATGATCTACTATGTATGGTTTTTCTATGGTTCTATGGTTATCTACGTGGAAACTTGATGTATTTTTCTATTAGGAATACATATCGAAACAACTTGACGTATAAGATCTCAGAATATTTTGTATCATTGATCAATTCCCAATCATCAACCATTTTTCATTTAAGATAGTAGAGTGCCCCATATCGGACCCCCAAGTTGTTTTTGATTTAAAATGAAGAATAGCTAAACGTATTAAACAACTGTAACTTGAGAGTTATTGTTAAAGAAAATAATTTCCAATAAGGAAACAAAACACATAATGGTGGGCTACTATTTACACTTGATTATAATGGAATATTAGAGAATGCACAGCCAACAAGACCAGCGAGACGCTTGTAGGGGGTCAGATCTAGGGCACTTTTCTCTAATAGAATCGGTCTACGCGTTTTAGCTTCTCGCAACATTTTTGTGTTATACACTTGTTGATGGAAAAACTGCCAAATTTGGATACCAATCCTGTACATAACATCGTAATACTTACGCCTACCTTTGAAAAAATTGTATTCTAAGAAATGCATGCTGATAATATTAGCTTGACTATATGATATATATAATATATAGTAAACATATAATGTGAAATCATATATTAAATATAAAAATCTTTTAATATGTGTACTGATGATATAAATATTGCGGGACTTTCGATTTTGCAAGTCATTCTCGTAGAATCGAACAATATACTGACGATACTTTTTATTTATTTAAATATTTTGAAACGAAAAGTGTTGAATTAGAAAAACCCAAAAGCATTATTTTGAAGCTAGCTGATATAGCTACTTAATTTAAATCAAGCATATAATGTAAACAACTGGGCATTTGGTAGAGTTTTTCAGTACTTCTGCACTGCTATATTGGCAAGGACCTAAAAAAATCGTCAGTGTATTTTTTTATTAAGCCTTTATATAGACAAGCAAAATAGATATTTGCTCTAGGTTAGGGTTACTTATTATATAACTTATTGTAGATATATAACATTATATTTGAAGAGTTGTGACGTTCTTATAATTGTTATAGATTTTGATATGTGAACTTGCTATTACATTTGGGACAATGTTTAAGTTTTGTTAATTCATTTGATAAGTATTGTTTATACCATGTTTATAAATTTTTGTGAATATATCTTATTTTTAAGCAGAAATTATGTTAAACGAATACACGTATTTACTTTCATGGATTGTAGTTTTTCTTCACAAAAGCCTTAATGTACCACAAAATGTAAGAAGCTTGCAATCGTCCAGACCAATACATGCGCTTACAAATCAGACTTTTTTAAATCATGAGCTTCGCGTTGACAAAGCAAGGTTTGTATTGTGTGGTACAGAAACAAGGAACATTTGTGTCCAAATCGACATCGCATTTCCAAAACTAGAAATGGTGTTAACTACAATGGATAAAAATTCTACAACCTATTGTCAACTGAAATCTCATCTCTCGATGTTCAACAATTTGCCAAAACCAAGCAATGTTCCTACTATCTTTTTTTGACGTCGAAGACTTCCTTACCTTCAGTTTTTTCATCGTGGCATAATTTTCTTTGTATTTAGTCTATTTTATAACTTTTTTAACCATCTCTATTTATTTTTCATAAAAATTTTAACTTATGTTTTATTAACTTTTTTACCTCTTAGTGCCACTTTGTGTTTCATGTTGGTTCTACTTTAATAGACTTGTGCAAAAACATTTCTGTGTAATAGCATTAATAAATTATTATTATTTATAGAGGATATACAGGGTGTTTTGGATCTCTGAATCGGTAAGAGATACTAAGGTGGTGAATGAGGAAAAAGTTGCGCATTTACGTAATTAAAAAAATTGCACTTCGCAAATCCTAGTATTTCCAAAGTTATCGGCTTTAATTGACATGAGATTTGAAAAACAAGTACATTAACATTGCGCCACCTTGTCTTCTCTACAATATGGTATAATTAGAATTTCAATACGACGTTTCGTTTCTTGGCCTCAATCACCAACTTTATCTTTTCTTATAGACACCATATGTAATCAGGTGGAAAGAGTTTTAAAATGTATGATATGTCATACATTAACACTACAAAACTTTATTTATTTCAAAAATATATAATTTACTAGTAGACCTTAAAATTATCAGATAGTCATTTGTTTCGTTTAATCTTCCAAGCAATCCTTCAGTTTTTATAAATAAAGCATAGTCGGACAGTCCCCATTTCAGATTTTACACATGTGGATATTATACATATCATGACATGGATTGATATTATAAATGTCTTAAAATGTATTCTTCTTATAGTTTGTCTTAACTGGTCGAATAAATAACAACATATTACTAAAACTTTTTATATTTTTTAAGGATAGTATTGAAAACATTGAGAACAGTATTATTTTTTTTTGTGTGTAACTGATAGAAACACTTTCATATCTACCATATTCAAGCCGTTGTTCACATTTTGCATTCAAAGACTGTTAACCTACAGCTGAAGTGTCATATAGAGCGTCTCCATCTAGTTAAAATAACCCTCGTTATAGTTATATATATACAGGGTGACTTTGAAGTTGAGGCATTAATTTTCAGATAATGATTGTAGAAGGAAAATAAACCAAAATATGTGTGTAAAAATAAAAAAAAAAAATTACCTTGTTTTATAAAGTATCCTCCCGACAAGTATTTCAGTGCGGACCTGTATTTGATCGTGTGGTCCCCTGTGAGGTCTTAAGTCACCTGATTCACGAACCCGTTGTACTACATTAACAAAGGCACGAGGGGTTGGTTGCACTCGATTGGGAAACCGATCCGCATAAACATGTGCCATTTTTTATTTCGTTTGAGCCACGCAACAGACACTATTCACACGCGACTGACACTGACTGTATGTATAACTGAACTGAATAAAATAATAAATTGTACAAACATCGTTCCAAATTCTTTCGCTTTTTTGTTTCCGATGCGATGAACCGGTAAGGCGGATTATATCCGTTGTTGCCAAACACGAGCACATGATATTGAGACAGGGCGGTACTCAAACTTTCAAAGGGCTATAACTTTGTTACTTTAATTTTACCAGAAAAATGGTAAAGGAAAAAAAACATTTCTTTTGATCAGATCTACCCACTGTTAAAATAAATGACTCAACTTCGAAGTCACCCTGTATATATATATATATATATATATATATATATATATATATATATATATATATTCCTGTATAACAAGAAATAGGAAAATAATGGGCAAAATCCGCAAAAAGGGAAAGTGGATACGAACAGAAAATAGGATAGCTAACCCGAGCAATACGTATTTCTGCTTGTTGGCTTCATCAGGCCCGAAATGAATGAACATATGCAACCACACCAGTAGATAAACATGTCCATTCATCCGGATACGGGTGTAACCCGAGGAAGTGCCATTTTGTTCGGTAACCTAAACGCGCAACTTTGCACCCATTTAACGACTTCGTATCTCCTACCGTTTCCGTTTCCCAATGGTGAGAGTCAAATTTGAAACACTCGGTATACCATGTTTCTGTTATCTCGAACCATTCTAGGCAAAATACCTTCATGTAAACATCTTCAACATATACAGGGTGGCGCATCGAAAACGAAACAGACGCATTTACGGGTAGCTCAGTTTTTTTTTGAAAAAACGCTCAGACCGATCGATTTTGTTTTCGAGGGGGACACAAGTTTTGCAAAAAATTACGTTAACACGTGCAGCCCCCTGGGCGGGGGTGACACCAACCCTAAAATCTTAAATGGAACGGGTGGTCGAGTGATACCTTATTTTAAAGGTCTTTCAATTCCCTTTATAATGATGTAAAATACATGAGCTTCAGTTCAGTAGTTTTGAAGATTTATTGATTTAAAGCTTAAAGTAGACTTTAATAGGTGCATAAGATTAGTTTGTAATACTTTCAGAAGAAATTTGACTAAAAGAATTTACTAAATAAGTAAATGCTTTTCTTCACTACGCCCATGGTTTGTTTATCATTTTGTTGTTGAAAATAGCTATTGGAGCATCTTTTGTGGCAAAAAAGTTATTTCTTGAAGAAAGATAAGGAAATATCTCGTACTTATTTTAAATAGGAATTTAGTACATAGTTTGCGATTGATTTGACCAATCTTTGTTGCTAAAGTAACTTGTAACGCTTTATTACATAAATTCTACCATGGTATATTCCACAGCAGAAAGAGTAGAAATTATCGAAATATTTTTCGGAAATAATCAGTGCGCTAATAGAACAGCAGAAATATTTAATGAGCGACATGAGAACAGTAACGTGCATCGAAAATATGTTCTAGAACTTGCAGCTAAATTTCGGGAAACTGGGTCAGTCGTCAATAAAAAACGCAACATTGAAAATCCCATAAGGAATGAAGCAATAGAATTGGGGGTTTTAGGGGAAGTTTATGTAGATCCTACGTTAAGTACCCGCACATTGGAGACTGTGTGTGGTGTTAGTCGACGTACTGTCCAACGGATTCTAAAGGCCCATAGTGTGCGGCAACGTTTTGACCAAAATCTTTATTATTGCATGGAGAGTCATGGTGGCCATTTTCAACATTTACTTGCCTAACGGGTCAGTTCATTCTTCATTTTTAAATTACTTTGCTGCCAAATGTATTGATCTCCACTAATGATGATCTCTAAGTTTTATTTAAGCTTCAAATCAATAAATCTTCAAAACTACTAAACTGAAGTACATATATTATATTTCATTATAAAGGGAATTGAAATACCTTTAAAATAAGGTATCACTCGATCTCCCTTTCCATTTAAGACTTTGGGGGTGGCGTCAACCCCGCTTAGGGGGCTGCACGTGCTAACGTGATTTTTTGCCAAACTTGTGTCCCCCTCGAAAACAAAATCCACGGGTCTGAGCGTTTTTCAAAAAAAAAAAAACTGAGCTGCCAGTAAATGCGACTGTTTCGTTTTCGATGCGCCACCCTGTATAACCGTGGATTAATCAGACCTTCAATAATTCTTCACCGCGCAAGACCATTCAAAGTTTCCCCACAGTATAGCTAGGTAATTTCGTATCCTTGTCATTTTGAAATGTTTCCAGACTACGTAGCAGTTTAATTGTTTAAATATAACTTTGGAAACAATGGCTTATAAAATTTCACTGATTTATTTTTGCAGAAATCTTAGAATAATAGTCTAGGAGCCAGCGTACTTTTTAGAAGAGATTCTCAAAAAACAAGGTTCACATTTGTGCCTGACCTTGTTCTGTAGATGTAGAACCGAAATACTTACTGACGTTTCGGCCATCCCTGTGAAAACGCCTGTAGTTTCCATTTTGCGGTCAGTAAAATATGGAGTGTGGAAATTGATCATAGAGACAACCACATGATAAATTTTAAAGGTTACGTTACACTGAGGAACATTTTAAAACATTTTTTCTTCCTAGAATGATTTTGGCTGGACTCTATATATTTGTTGAATCCGGATGTGGTCGCAAATTTTCTATATTAGTCTGCAGTGATGCAGGCTTTGATATAAATAAAAATTCATAAAAATCACCTTTACCATAGGTAATGCCTTTTGATTAAATTTAAACAATAATACGTTTCATTAACAGTTAGCTTACCATAGATACAATATGAACATTTTTAAGTAATTTTGGATAAATTTAATATTTATTTCCTTAACGTCTTTCATTTAAAAGAACTCCTGGATTTGTCTCGTATTATTGTCCAGCAATAATCGACTAACATATGCGGGCTCCAGTTTCCTGTATACCGTTTCTCTATGGAGGAGATATCGTGGTGAAATCGTTCTCCATGGTCATCTGATATTGCTCCTAAATTTTTACGAAAAAGTCCAAAGGAGAATGAAAAAAGTGAAGTTTTAGCGACATGTTACATTCTAACGTATGATAGGCCATGAGTAGTTTTTCCACGAGTTCGCGATAATTTTCTGATTTGTTATTTCCAAGAAAATTGTTGCAAACACTTTCGAATGCATCCCGTGCCCGACTTTCATTGCCACTTAAAATTTGCCTGAAGTTCGCACCTTTGAAAAATCGCCTAATTTGGGGACCAACAAAAATTCTTTCTTTAATTGTTGCCTCGTTTATACGAGCCCCTTCCCACTTCAGTTGGCCCAAATATTGAAATCTTAGTTTTTTTCTTATCAAACACAAATAATAAAAATGTAGCAGGGTGTTATAGGTTTAAAATATTAACAATGATTATTTTGATAATATGTAGTAGAAAACACCAACTTTATCACTCCCTAATCAAATTTGCAGCATAAAAATAACACATGTTGCAATTACAGCATATCAACCTATTTTCATGTCAATGCAAAATAAGTCTATAACGCATAGGTGGCTGTGAAAAATAAAAGCTATGACAATTGTTTTTATTAATCACAGGTGTCAGAATATGTTTAAAATAGTTTTGGGTAGTTAAGGTTTTCAAAATGGGTAGAGGAAAGGTTATTAGTGAGAAAATTCGGTTACTGATAATTAATTTTTTTAATTCTGGGAAATCAAACTCAGAAATTGCAACTTTGTTAGACTTATCTCGGTACAGTGTGAGAAATATTGTAAGAAGATATAACGTAACTGGTTCAGTTAATATTAA